AACCCGAGCTGGTTCTCAGGCTCTGCCAGCGCAGGGCTCCCGCGCACCTGTGTCCACTCTTCTTCTGTGGCCAGTGCAGCCTCCACTGAGGGGACGTGCAGAGCAGCCTGAGCTTTGTCACCGCAGTCAGGGAAGACGTGGGTTCAGCCTGGCCCTGCAGAGGCATCAAGGATGCCAGCAGCGACTGTCCCCAAGAGCTCTGCCACTTTCTTTCACGCTCAGTAACTAGTAAACAAGGAGTAAATAAACAGAACTGCCATCTTACACCACTCACCCGTGTCCCGCATGAGCTATGGATTTGGGTTTCCTGGCATGAAATGTGCTGGCTGGGAGATACGATGAAAAAAATCACACAACACAGAAAGAATTTGGGAACTGAGGGCAAGACGGCTCTTTGACCTTAAGGGTCAAGCTTGCACGCTGGAAAGAGGGTCTGAGCCTGTGTTTGGTTTATTTTATAACAGGGACATCAAAGGCAGGGATGAGGTTTCAGGGGCAGACTCCTTCTTCGTGGTGTCTTGTGGTCAGCAGAGTGACTGACATCTTGGCAGGTCACACCCCTCTCAGGTGCTGTGTGGGATCCTAGGCAGAGCCCTAGGGGGAGGCTCACCTGCATCAGGCCATCAGTCCCTGACAGGGAATTCCGGTGCCAGACCTAGCCCCTCACTTGGCTGCGATGAGCAACAATCCACATACAGCCCATGGGCAGCTCGTAACAGGGAACAGCAGTGTGTGTTCCGAGTGTGCCGAGACTCAGAGGTCCCAGCTAGAGTGTTAGTCAAAGTCATGATGCCATCCCTAGGACGCACTCTGACCTGAGCAGTGGGTCAAGGACAGAATGAAAGAGGATGACAGTTTTCACCTGCATCAGCTCAGGTACAACTCAGCTAAGATCTGGGGTCACCTGTTCTGCAGGATCTAGGTAGGATTTGCTCAGAAGAAGTCCAAAATCTGTCTCAAGGGCCACTGTTTTCATAATCATCTCTGCCTCTAAGCACAGAGGACATCAGGACCTCTGAGGCTCCTGGGGCAACATCACCCCTCCTAGAAAGTGGCATAACTTTTAACTAACACCCTCCCCACATTCCCCATGTAACCCTCATCTCATAAAAAGGTATCTTATTTGTTTCCATTTTGCAAAGAAAGAGATCATTAGTTGTTCAAAGTTATGCAGCTAATGGGCATGGAAGGTAGAATCAACCCAAATTATGGGCCTCACAGCCCAGTGCTCTTTCCGCTACACACAGCTAAGCAGGGCAGACTAGAGGGCTCTCTGGGAACAGCACTCTGCATGGAAAACAGCTTTCCTAGTAGACCCAGTCATTCCTGCATCCAAAATGTGCAAAACACCAGAGAGCCAGAGTGGACCTTAGTAAAGGCACAAGATCTCAGCCTGCAAATGGCCTGTAAGCTAGTGAAGGAGGAAGTGTACCCACAGGACACCAGTGTATTAATCCACACAGGCACCTCAGGGCAGCAGTCCTGAGGAAGGCCAAAGAAGAACATGCAATGTTGAATCCATCCTGGAGGGCTCCCGGGGGGAGGTGAGGGCCTCCTTATTCTCTTTTGGTTTGAGTTGGATCTGAGATGCAGAAAAAAGACGAAGTAATTACACTCCTCAGATCAGAGCACATCTTTCATCACTGGTCCATGAAAAGCCCCTCTCTTATTTTCTTTTTCTCTTTTATTCTCACCTCTACATTCATTCCCCTCTTTCCATAGGCAGTCACCAGTGGTCGAGTTCCTCTGAGTTCAATCCTCAGGAACCACCCCCCACACACACAATAAAACTGTTTTAAATTCTCTGAGTTCTCCCAAACTGGTTATTAGTTGATCAGTTTCTGGGTACTATCTTTTTTTTTTTTTTTTGGTACTAGGGATTGAATGAACCCAGGGGCTCTTGACCACTGAGCCACATCCCCAGCCCTGTTTTTTATATTTTATTTAGAAACAGGGTCTTGCTAAGTTGCTGAGGCTGGCTTTGAACTCATGATCCTCCTGCCTCAGCCTTCCAAGTCACTGGGGTTACAGGCATGCACCACCATGCCTCTGGGCACTATATTTTGAATATTAGTTTGGATCCTGGTTTCCTGAAAGCTCCAGATGCTTACTGGTGTGCATTGAAGGATTAGGGTGTGTTCCAGTCTCCCTCTTCCAGCTTTGGGGGTACCTGTCTTCCCAGGCCTTCTCCCCGGGCTGCTTATTCTCTCTGAGCTTTCTAGCACTGGTCACTTCCACTGCTTCGGCACTGGATGGTGTCCAGGTTGGGGTTTGTAGGAGTCTGCGATTGGTGTGTCGTCACTGTTTCCATATTAGAAGGCATGACTGTCCATCCAACTTGGAGCGTCTGTGGGGAGACAGTCACCTGGGATCTTACCTAGCCGCCATGTAGCTCCCCCTCTTCTTAATTCTCCTGTTATCCCTTAGGGTCACCCCTTCTGAAAACCACCTGCCCCTGGCCCATCATTACATCCACGTCCTTGGGTTTTTTACTTGGTGATTTGCAAGAGTTCCCCATCTCTCCTAGAGAGGCTCCTCCTCACACAGCGCTCTCCTGGGAGCTGCCGTGATTGCCTATCTGGGGCGAAGGGACCTGTGCGGTCACCACCTCTTCCAACTCTCATTCTCTAGTCGGGGCTCAGAAATGGGCAGAAACACGATCAAAGGGAAAGGACCCTTTTCTTTCCTCCCCTCTGACGGCTTTGCCTGAGGACCGAGGTCCGAGGAGACGGGTAACAAGGGGCAACGCAGCTCTTCTTCTCTGGGGCGCTAACCTGCCGTGTCAATTTGAGTTGATAAGCGGTTGGAAGGCCTAATTGGGTCAGAAGACCCTGAGATGGCTGGCGCAGAGGCCCACTCAGTCACCCACGTTCCCGGGGCCGGCAGGGCGCAGGGCAGTGCCTGTTCATCACATGTGCTGTGCAGTGGCTGCTGCATTTCCTGCCAGTGTCTGCCCAGGCTGGGAGGTGAGGTGACTCCAATCCAGTGACGCTGAGTCACTGAGGGTCCTTCAGAGAGAGCAGAGTCCTGCCCAACACGGAGTGGAAGACGTTCTATCACAGTGGCTTTTAATGTCCCTCCCAGCCTTTGCTGGCAGAATGGCCTCTGGGGCCCTCCCATCCTAACCTCGTTATGGGTGCCATCCCCAGACGGATGTGCCCTTGACTCTTCTTAGACTTCCTTCCTCCTCCTGACCTCTGGCCCACTTGCCTAAAGGACACAGAATTCAAAGCCAGTCTTGCTGTGGGCAAGATAGGGCTTCACTAAGTTGCTTAGGGTCTTGCTAAAGTTGCTGAGCCTGGCCTCAAACTTGCGATTCTCCTGCCTCAGCCTCCAGAACTGGAAATACAGCTTGCACCACTACACCTGGCTGGGGTCTGTTTTTAACATGTGGCTCAGGTGATTGTCACTATCAAGCCCATTTGAGAAACCCTACGTTAGGGGCGCGTGGTGAAGTAAGTGTAGACCTTCTGGAAGGAGCGACAGCAGCCCTGGGTTCAGGAGTCTAGTCCCCGGACCTCTCTAGCTCCGTCTCTCTCTTGCTGTGTGTGGTTAAGCAAGTCCCTTGACCTCTTTGAACTTGATTTCTTCATGTAGGAATAAAGATATTGGGCCAGACCTCTTACAGTCCTTACATTTCATGAATTGTTTTCTATAAGTCATTAGTAAAGTAAGCAAGTATGACACATGGTTTGTGCCCCAAAAGCAACTTCTCCCCCAAGTACTCCTTTATTTTAAAATGTATTCGGTGGGAGAAACCTGACCAGCCCCTCTGCTCTCTTACTCCTGAGTGGTAGATTCTGTCCTAGCTATTTTAAGTTACAGATGCAGTCTCAACTTGGAGATTAGAACACCAGTCCTGAGTAATAATCAGCACCCTCCAGTCTTCTCCCTTCTTTGGGTCTGGCTCTGCTTAAGGCTGGAAGTGGCTGGGGAGGAGGTGACACAGGTCCCTCTGCTGTCTGACACTACCCCCACCCCACCCCCCACTTTCCCTCCCTAACTGCACTAGTTTTACGACCTGCCAGGATAGAAATCGTGGGGTTCTGATACTGAGAGCTGGAAAGACCTTAAAACTGGCTCTTGCTCTTGTGAATGGGGCGGGGTGGGGTGCCCCCTGAGATTCCCTGTTGTGCCCCTCTCTCCTACAGTTCCCTCAACCCATGCAAACACCCCGTCTCCATTCGCAGGTCCCTGGCAGCTTTTGCTCAGCCCCAGGTATATGGGGACCGCCTTCAGCCTCTTCTGCTGGGATTTCTGACGACTGGTCCCACTGGGTGGGATGTCGGTCACCCCGGGGCCAGCCCTGGTCCTCCTCCCTCGTTGGAGGGAGGGATTCACGACTCAGCAGCAGCTCTGCCTGGAAAGTCTTCCTCCCCAGTTATTCACCAGATGAATGACCCACCTGCATTTTATGGGGGACAGAGGTGGGTTTGTGGATCCTGAAACAGATGTTCTTACATTCCACTGCGCAGCTTGCACACCGCCAGTGCTCAGGGTCTTCTGACGTCACTCACGACTGGGTAGAAAGAGCCCTGCTGTAACCTCCACGCACACGGGACCTGCGTTCCCAGCAGTGAGCGCCTCCTAGGGAAAGGAGGCCAGGGTGCGGGACCGGGAGGCCTGGATGGGAAGGACTGAGGCCGCTCTGCAGGTGGCCGGCTGCCTCCGCAGCTGCTCCCAAAGCTCCACTCCTGGCACCTGCTGGCCACAGGCACGCCGGTCCTTGAGGCACCATGTCTATCCTCTGGCCTCCAGCTTCTGGCCAAGGTGTGAGGGGTCCAGACAGCAGCATAGAGGGAAGGAAATGATGATGGGACCTGATACCACCTTACAAGTCTCCCCAGGTTCTCAGAGGCCAAGGCAACTATGGGGGACAAGAAGCAAAGCCCTTGGGAGACTTCCACCTAGGGTCAGGTCATGACCTAGTGCTCCAGCCTGTCTGTCCCCCCAGCCTCTATGTCCAGCTTCCACTGACCTTCCTCTTTCTTCTCTGGCAGGGACTGATGCCCTTGGCCATGAGGAACCCCCAACCATTATTTGCACAGGTGCAGCCTGTGTGACTGAGCCACCGCTGCTCCAGCTGTTTCACGTAAGTGAAGGCACAAGCCAACCCTCTACCCCCACAGACAGGTGTCGGGGACCTGAGTGTCCCCAGGAAGCTGGATGGAGAGGGAGCTTCAGAAAGTCTTGGTCCTGGACATGGTCCCCACTGAGTCATTGTGCCCCAGACCTGCCAGGACTTGGGCAGAAACACAGGGCTCCTGCTCCTTCTCACAAAGCTCCCCAAGAAGCAGCTGGCTTGATGGAAGCCCACAGCCTGACCCTGGCATCCTGGCTCAGACACTTGCCGTCCTGTGACCTAGGCCGACCCTCCTGCATTGTGGGGTTTTTGTGAGATTTTCAGGGACATGTATTAGTTACAACAAACCTAGCGGCTTAAAACAACACACACTGATTATCTGAGTTTCTCTGGGTCAGGAATCCCCGGCATGATGACCTGGGTCTGCTGCATCCTGGTCTGTCACAAGTCCTCAGCAGCCCTCGGCGTGAGCATGCAGGGAAACAGGGAAGGATAAAGTGATGATGTAGTGAAATCACATAAATTCTCTCTGGCCAGAGGTTCATCTTTCCCCCACTAGATGCCTCAGTGAATCCCCAAAGCCTGGCCCACTATGCATCTGGGCAAAGTCAAATTGATCTTGAACAGTTTGCAGATGGGATTAAGCTGAGAGTTGCAATTTTCTGCCCCCTGGTGGAAAATTGAAGTAATAACTGCCAGGCCTGTGACGTGCTACACAGTGAAATGATCTTCCCACTCTTCTGCACAGGATGCATGATGCTGGGGGGTGAGGGGTATAGGAAGCAATCCAAGACACAACCCCTGAGTGCAAAGGACTGGCAGTTTAGTGGAGGAGTCAAGATATCCCCACGCTAAAAGTCCACTAGCATCCCCTGAGGCAGAATTTGAAGAAGGAACATGGAAAGAGGTATTGCAGTGGAGTCCAGAACTGAGAGAGCAGGGATGGGGAAGATGAGGAAGGCTTCTCCAGCCTTGAAGGATGGGCGGGATTTGAACAGGTGGAGATGATGCGCTTCTCCACTGAAAGCCCCTAGGGAACCCCCTTCATCTCCACAATGGTAAGTCCCAATTTTGTGCCTTGCCTATAGTCTCTCCAGCTACACGCCTACCCTTACACTTCTGGAACCCTACCATCCCAAAGTCCAGGTGCTTCTCGCCTCTGGACTCTTCTTTCTTCCCTGTCCACCTGTCTCCCACTCATCAGCCTGTGGGATTCAAACATGACCTTTTATGGCACACCTCCCCACTACGCAGTTGCCCTTCTGATGTCCCCAGGCCCCGGGACTGTGATGTGGCTGCCTGTCTCACTCCATGTCATAGGATGTGCTGAGTGTCTTCATCACTAAGCTATAAGCTTCCTAGGAACCGGGGCTACCTGACAGGGCTGAGGTGCCACGTCGGGGAACTGGAGGGAAAGGTGAATTGGTAATGATGCATGGTGGGGAGGGGAGGGCAGAGGCCTTGAAGCTCTTCACGAAAGTGTGTGCCCAGATAAATGTATACTGCAGACAGCGTGATGTAGGGAAGGCGCTGGAGCCACAGAGGGGAAGGGGGGCCTGGTGGGAAGAAGAAAACCCGTTAGGAAAGCCGTCGCATCAGTGCGGGCCTGAGATGCAGGGCCCTAACTCGGTGCAGTGGAGAGCAGAAGGCCGGGAAAGGCCAAAGAAGAGCCTAAGGATTTTAAAGTCTGAGTGTCTAGGGGCACATCCTATGGCCTGATCACACTAATGTACAACTGAACCCCCTGAGACCTTGTCAAGAGGCAGACTCCGGCTCTTAGGCCTCTGGTGGGACCACGTTTCCAGCCAGCTCCCCCAGGATGCCCAGGCCTGGTCCACAGACCACAGGCAGCAGTGAGGCTGCTCAGCACCCCTAAGTGAATTGAGAACAGTGCTACTGTGAGGGAGGAGCCCCCCAGAGCAGAGTGGAGGGCAGGAGGTATGTTGGAATGAAGGAAAAGGTGCCTCTTCCTCCTGGTGAACACACAGGATGCCCAGCTTGGTGAGCAGAGTGCTGGTGAGGTCTGGCCCCCACTTGAGGAATGAACAGCCTGCCACGCCCTTCAGAGAAGCCCTGGTGGGACACCCCGAGACGACACTCAGATGGGGCGCCTGTGTGGAGAGCAGAGTGATGGCTTTAGCCTGTCCTAATTGAGTTTGAGGTGACAGTGGGGCTATCCAAGTGAAATGGACATCTAGTGGCAGTTGGAGACTCACCTGGAGTCCTGCATTGGGCTCTGTGGGCTTGCTGATGAGAGAACAAGAGCAGGTGGGGATGAGGAACTAGCTCACCCTCGGGGCCTTCTGCAACGGGTGACACTCCTCTCCCAACATCTCTGTCCCTTTTTTGTCTTGCAGGTCACGGTTCCCTTTACTGAACGTTAAGTGCTTACAGTCATTCTTCCATCCTCCAGACACCAAGTCCCCACTGGCCAGTTCCCTGGGAGGCCTGGACAGCCCCTCACTGAAGCTTGCCTCCCTCCTGTACATTGGCAGGACCAGTCTCCCCGGCCTGGACACAGCCTTCCAGGAGCCTGGGCGTGGCCCACCCACTCCCCCTGGTCTCACCTCGCCTTGTTTACCATGAACTGAAGGCGAGGAGAGATACCCCCAAAAGGAATGTGGGCTTGAGCAAGGGAAGAGCCAGGACCATCTGTGTTTGTACCCAGGAGAGCAGCATGGCCTTGGGGGGAAATGGACTGGGCAGAATCCCAGCCGATCCATCAGGCCTCAGCTCCTCCTGTATGGAACAGGGATAGTTAGTGACCACCCCAAACTGTCCCTGTGAGCAATGAAGGCCTCCCGTGGCCAGAGCCTCAGCCCCCACAGAGGCCGGTATTCTATTATTCTGTGTCTTGGAACCATGGGGACAGGGAGGTCAAGAAGGAGGTAGGGAGAGAGGAATGGGGGCAAGAGGACTGCGGAGGAAACAAAAAGAACCTGTGACATTGGAAACGGGGAGCAGAATTAGCACCCGCCTCCTCCCTGGAGTCCGTGGGGTAATGCTACAGTGATGGAAGCTGTCCCCACGAGCTCTTCTAGAGGCCAGTCTTCTACTCAGGCACCCACCTGCATCACTAGCTCATTTTATCTCACAGGGAGCAACAGCTCTCACTCACCCCAGCTCAGGCTGGCCCCAGCCCCAGCCCCTGCCAATCTTCAGGCCCCGGGGTGCTGAGGCCCTCCCAGCTTCTGGTGCCCTCAGGTCCCCTGCGTCTCACCCTCTACACACGTCTTTGCAGAGTTGGATGGGGCATCGGGCGGATGACCGCGGGAACGGTCGTGATCACTGGCGGAATCCTAGCTACGGTGATCCTCCTCTGCATCATCGCCGTCCTGTGCTACTGTAGGCTCCAGGTCAGTCCCCTGGGCCTGCGGCTGGAGGCTGCCCGGCCACCAGCAAACCACTTCATTATGGGGGCAGAAAACTGGAAGCCCACTTTGGGCCCAACAAAGCCCAAAGCCATGGAGTGTAGGAGACCTAAGTCCAGGAGGCTGGGAGCTGTGGGTGGTCAGAAGGGACCCACGCACCACCCTCTGCACCCTTCAGGCACCCAGGGAGTGGCCAGGACATACTGGGTCATCACATTCACCTGAGGTTTCGGGAGTGGTGGGAAAGCCACCCTTCGGGGTATACTCTGAGAGCTGCTACTGGAAAGCCCTCAGCCCTGCCTTCCACATGACATGTGTGTCCTTCTCTCTGCCCCCCTCAACCGTAGCCTGGAGTTACTACACTGAGCAACAGGGAGAGAAAAGGCAAGGTGTGCATGGGGGCGGGCGTGCACCACCTCTCAGCCGTCTCTGTCCCCTCCCCACAGTATTACTGCTGCAAGAAGAGCACAGCTGAAGATGCAGACCAGGAGGAGGACGAAGAGGAGGAGCATGGCCTTCCCGTCCACCCCAGGGGCCCCACCTGCAATGCCTGCAGCTCCCGAGCTCTGGACGGCAGAGGCAGCCTGGCACCTCTTACCGGCGAGCCCTGCAGCCAGCCGTGCGGGGTGGCCGCTGGCCACTGCACCACCTGCTCCCCTTACCACACCCCCTTCTACATACGGACAGCTGACATGGTGCCCAACGGGGGTGGAGGCGAGAGGCTCTCCTTTGCTCCCGTTTGCTACAAGGAGGGGGGACCCCCATCCCTCAAACTGGCAGCGCCCCAGAGTTACCCGGTGACCTGGCCAGGCTCTGGGCGCGAGGCCTTCACCAATCCAAGGGCTATTAGTACAGACGTGTGACCCCGTCCACCCCAGCCAGCACACACACCAACGCTGCCACCCGGAGGAGCAGAGGAGGCGGCCAGTGGCCCTCCAGCAGCCCCACGAAGACTCCTCGTTTCTTTGGCCTTTCTTGCTCCACAGCAGAGGGCTCGCCAGGTTGAGCTGTTGAGAACCAGGGCAGGCCTGGCTCCCGCCCGCCCCGTGGCTCACAGGTTGGGGCCCATCTGATGGGTAGGCCTTGCCGCTCCCCCAGTTTCTGTCTGACTCCCCTCTGACCACCCCCTGCATCACCACAACCCCTTCCAGGACCCCCAAGCCCCGGCTCTGCTGGCTGGGCAAAGGAGCCCCAGGGAACACGGCTCTAGGGGCCTCCAGAGCCTGTGGGAGATGAAGCGGCCATGTCCAGAGGAAAGGGGGACAGAGGGCAAGGAGAGAAGTGAGGACTGGACACCCAGAAGTTGGGGAGGGCAGGGAAGGTGAGGCCTGCATGCTGGGGTCAGCCAGGAGCTCGTTCACAGTCCAGTTTTCTACCTTGGGGGCCAGGCTAGTACTGTCCCTGGAGCGGCTCTGCTGGGCTTGTGGATTACTGAACACCCCACACCTGCCTCTGCACCGCCACCCCACGGAACACCGAGCTGACCTTAAAGGTCGTGGCATGGGTTATGTAGGGTCTGCATTGAATATCCCTGTCCAATCCCCTCCCCCACCGCATCCTTTCTCTGCCTTAGGAACCAGCTGCCCCCTACTGGAGAAGCTTTTTCAAGTTGTTACTAGAGTTCTAGAAGCTTAGCTCTGAGATCTCTCTGGTCCTCCCAGGCCCTGGTCCACCTCGCTTAGCGCCACGCATGGCCACAGTGCTGTGGGGAGGTGTGCGTTCCTTTCCCCAGGTGCACACGCACCAGTCACCACCAGCAGGCACTGAGGGCTTTGTCACAGTCAGTAATAGCTGCACAGGACAAGCGACCAGGGACACCAATGAGCAAGAAAAGCAGCAAGGACAGAGGTGATATTTTAAAATTGTTTTTTAGTTATAGATGAACACAATACCTTTATTTTATTTATTTATTTTTATGTGTGGCTGAGGATCAAACCCAGTGCCTCACACGTGCCAGGCAAGCGCTCCACCACTGAGCCCCAGCCCCAGCCCCCAGGAGGTGATTGGGGGCCAGTCCCTATGGCAACCAGACAGAAGGTCCAGGAAGAGCCTGGAGTCCGTGGGGCAATGCTGCAGTGACTGAAGCTGCCCCCACAAGCTCCTCCAGAAGCCAGGTACTCCACTTGGGCATCCACCCGTGTCACCAGATCATTTTGTCCCACAGGGAGCAACAGCTCTCCACTAGAGGGCTCCTGAGGATCAGGTGTGTCTTGGCAATTGACTTTAGTGCTTACTGCCCTCTTTGGCCACCCCACTCTCCGGTCTCCTGCTGGTGGGACATTTATTGCTGTTTCACTCTAGTCCCAAGTTCAAGTCCTGCTTACAACCCTGCAGTGGCCTTATGCTTTTTCAGTCATATATCTGATGCAATTTCCAGTAGCTTCTGCATTAAAAGGTGGCTGTCCCTGCTTCTAAGGGCATAGCTAACCCCTGCCCACTCCTGAGTCGCTGAATGTTACAGATGGTGGCACAGGGATGAGGCTGGCCTCTCTGCTGAAATCCTAGTATTCGACACGGGTAGGTACAGTGGAGGGAGTGGGAAGGGGGACGCCCACCTCACGTCTCAACCTGGAATCCAAGCACACTGGGTTGAGAAGCAGAAGACCTGGGCTCTGGCCCCATTTTGGTCACTCACTGGCTCTAGGACCAGTCACTTCCCTGAGACTCTATTTTCTCCAGGAAGACGAGGGTGAAGTCTAAGGGCCCCCTAGTGCTGTATGAAGTGAGGACTTCCTAAAAACAGGTGCAGCCTGGCTATTCCCTCTCGCCCTCCTCCTCCTGACGGGGGATGGATATGTTCCCAGCTGTCTGATCCTGTGTACAGGGATGCTGGCTGAATTCTAACTGTCAGACAGACATGTTTGACCCCACGGAGTGACCTCCTCAGGTGGGAGCTCTGCTTCTGCACCAGGAAGCAGCTCTAGGTGGGTCAAGGAGATTTGTCTCCCAGTGCAGGGAACAGCGTTGATACCTTTCCTGGGCGAATGTAACCCTGTGATGAGCTGCTGGGCCTGGCCGCCCTCCCAGCTTCCTGAGGACCAGCCCTGGTGCCTTGCGCCCCTTCAGTTCCACAGCTGATGACCCCAGGGCCACAGCCTTCCTCACCAAAAATAACAACTCCATCGTTGCACCTCCTGCCTTGGAAGAATCAGCACAACCCAGCTAACCACCACCCGCTTCTTGCCCCTGATCTGTTGGGGTCCCTGAGGACAAAGCATCCCACAGCATTGTCTCCTCCGGCAGCTGTCCCAACCTAACTGCTCTTAACCCAAGTCAGAATCTAGGTCTGGGGTGTTAGAAGGCAGGCCACTGCCCTCCCCAAGCAGCCCTCACTGCTCAGAGCCCAGGCTCCAAACCAGGCTCAGGCTCGCTTGCCCCGCTGTAGCTGCTGGGCCTTGTGCTGGTCAGCTTTTCGTCATTGTGACCAGTGATACTTGATCAGAACTTAGAGGAGGAAAAGCTTATTTGGGCTCCATCAGAGGTCTCAGTCCATGGTCAGTGGGCTCCATTGCTTATGGTGGAAGGGTGTGGCAGAGGGAAGCAGAGCCAGGGAGAGAGAAGGGGCCAGGGACAGAAGAAGCCCCCGAGGCCACATTCCCAGTGACCTACATCTTCCAGCCACGCTCCACCTGCCTATAGTTCTCACCAGTTCCCAGAAAATCCATTCAAACTATTAATCTATCAAATCATTCATCCACGGATGAGTCCTGAGCCCCCAGGACCCAGTCATTGCCTAAAAGCCCACCCCGGGACCTTGCTGCGCTGGGGAGCCTGCCTTCCACGCAGGACGCTGCGGAGATGTTCCAGGCCCAGACGGTAACAGGCCTGCCCTGTGGAGGAGGAAGCTCACCCCACTCGGCCACACTGTCCTGTTAGCTGTGGCGTCTACTACGGGACACTATTTATACACTCTTCAAACTGAACCCTGAACAGGAAGAGAAGGAGGCGGGCCCAGTCTTCTCCGCCATCTTTCTCGGCCTCCACTTCACTACTCCTGCAGATTTCTTGTCTTGCATCTTTGATAACTTGGAGTCACAACCAAGTGAATGTCAAAATAAATGAGAAATTTGAAATAGAAACTCCACAGGGTTCTCCATTCTTCTCCCGGGGAAGGGGCAACTGGGCATGGATTTTAGAGGGAACTCTCCATTTCAACACCCAGAAGGTCCGTTTCCTCTCCTCTACTGCTCACATGTTAATGAGACCTCACCTGCTTCAGGCAGCCCCTCCTGGGCTCAGCTGGAGTTCACATCCAGGGAGGATTGATTGCTTTGGGGGAGAGGGATTGTGCTAGCTGCAACTCAGGCTGAGAGGTTCTGCCTGTGATGCTGAGCCTCACTGGCCACAGCCAAGTGGGTTGGGCAGAGATGACAAAACAGGAGCCTTATAGAGTAGTGATGGGAAATAACTTTGTATGTAAAAAAGAGAACACGGGTATGAAGCCAGAGTGTGTCTGCATCTGTGTAAGAGGCTCTTGCTCCACCTCAGGGTCATGGCAGCCATGACTTGAGCCAGGTGGGCAGCAGGCACCCTGGCCTGAGCAATCCGCACCTGCAGCAGGCCTTCCTGAGCATTGGGAGCACAACTTTACCCCAGCGCAGGGAACGCTGGCTGCAGCTCTGTCACCACAGTCCTCTGGGAACAGAAACCAGGCCCTGAGGCAAATCTTATGATGGCACCTGTCCCATCCTCAAGCCACCTTCTCTTGCCCCTACAGAGCAGCCAACACCTCCCACCCACCCACACCTGGCACCCTGGTGAGGCAGGGCCACCCCAGGCACATTGGCTTGGCTGGGGCTTGGTGGCAGGGCCACATCCCTGGCCCTGCTTCTCCCTGCATCCCTTGACCTCTCTCAGCCTCAGGGAGGGAAGACGAGGGAGGCAGAAGCAGTGCTGAAGGCCGCAGGCCCCATGCCCTGATAGCCCTGGGTCTCTCTGATCAACAGAGCTCTGGCCCTCTCGAGACCACCAGTCCCGTAAGTCACATCAAGCCAACCTGGGTCCTCAATCCTATGTGTCCCCCGACCCTGGGTTTCAGCAGGGACTCACAGTGTTCTACACCCGAGTGCCATGCAGGAGAGGAAGTCCCCAAACCATGATGTCCAATGCTGGGCACTTCCAGGACGGCACAGCAGCTAGGAGGGGCAAAACCAGGACTCCCCCCCCAGAGTGCTGGGTGACCAGAAAGGAAGCAGCCGCCCACCCTGACCCTCAGGTGCAGCTCTGTCACCACCGTCCTCTGGGAACAGAAACCACACCTTGAGGCAAATCTTACCATGGCACCCGTCCCATCCTCAAGTCACCTTTAAGCTGCTCCCCACCCTCCCCCGATGTCTGTACCCTCTCTACCCCAGTCCCCATTCCAGTGACCACCATTCCTCTGTCACCTGTCTGCTCCCTCTGTGGAGAACCAGGGAGTACGTGCGTTTCTGGGTGCCCTCCGGGAGAGCAGGGTACTCATGGAATACCCCATCCTCCAGCCCAGCACACAGCACCCTCCAGATGGCATCACAGCCGGTGGGCATTGTGTGGGGACAGCCGAGAGAGGGAATGGAGGGGATCCTGGGTCACAAGGCCATCGTCTCTTTTTCTCTCTGGCAGACGCAGCAATCTAAGGGTGGTGGTAGAGGCTGGAATTTGAATGAAAGTTCAGTGTGAATCTTCCTGGGTCCACCACTCACCTCGGGACTTCAGGGATGTTTTGCACTTTTCTGTGTCGGTTTCCTCATCTGGAAAATTGAGATCCTAATGTCTATCGAGTCCACTTTGTGAAATTTAGTGAACTGATGCCTGGCACCCGAGGTCACTATTCCCATTTGTAGGATTCGTAGACAGACTTGTATCTGCACGAGACAGGCAGCAGGCCCACGTGGGGCTTGCTCAGGCTTCGGGGTGGGAGGCTCCTCTGGGCTCCACTCTCTTGTTCCACCTTTACTCATGCTCACACCTTTACTGAGCCAGGCACTGCTAGGACCAACGCCCTGTGCACTTCTGCCTCCCTCTTCGTTTGGACCTCTCCCTCCCCAATGACTCTGTCTGTGACTCTTTGAGTGACCCACGTGCCCGTCAGCCTGAAACTGCATTCATCCCAAAGAGCTGAAGGAAGGAGGGGGTTCTCATCTTCCAGCTCAATGCACAGCTCTCAGTTTGGCTGTGCTTCTGGTTTCGCTGGTTCCCAAGTCAGTGCTTGGGTTTGTAAAGCAGATCAATGGGGACAGAGAGGACCTCTAGCCCTTTCCTGTGAGCCTGGATTCCCGTGAGCCTATTCCTGGCTCTGCTGGGCTTCACTTAGAACCTGCTATACTCTCTGGCTTCCCTGCTACAAGAACGGGCCGGGACTCCAGCCGTCTTAGGGGAGAGGGTGGGGGGCAGATACCTGGTAGGGAGGGAGGGGAATGCACTCGTGCACCCATGCACCCATGCACCCATGCACCCATGCACCCATGCACCCATGCAGAACACCCTGTGCCTTCAGAGTTAGGAAACCAAAGGAGAGCCACCTGGAGGACTGGCCCTCCCATGTGTCAATGGCTGCCAGAGCTGGCTGTAAGGAACCGGCTTTCTCTGAATCCTCCCTCCTACCTCACGTCCTGCCAGGCTCCACAGAGAAGGAAACGTCACTACAGCTCTAAGGCTACCCCATGGGCCACAGGCAGCTTCACTCCCCTGACTAACCACCCTGTGATCCCGTAAGCCCCTCCTTCCAATGGACATAAACTTCCTAAGATGTGAAATCAAGGTTCTCTTTCTCTATTCAGCCTCCAAAATGGTGAAGCCAACCTGCAGCCCTGCTGTGGCCCTGGTCATCTGACATATTCAGGCCAGTTTTCTAGGTAATTCTTGGTTGCAGGGGGGACGTTGCATCCACAGATTGACTTCAACTGCACAATGAGTTAAGGCAGCTTGACCAGTGCTGGCAGATGGATTATGGGAATAAGGCACCGCGGAGGAGGCTGGCCAGATCCTGCTATGGTGCCACCAAGCGCCACTAACCACCTGCACACTTCTGCCTCCGTCTCCCTCCTGGGCTGTTGTGGGCACCAGTGGAAGAAGGGCTCACCAGGGCAGCTCCCGTGTGCTTGCCTTTGCCCTGGGCCTGCTCTGAAGGGCAGAAGTGGGCTCTTTTTAGACAGGAAAAAATAAACCCTGTGAGCACATTCCTCGTCATATTGTCACCAGACTTTTTGTTCTGGAAGAAACAATGCAAGCTCAAACAGAGGCCTGATCCTCCTCACAAAGTCCCCTGAATCCTTCCCCAAACACTGGGACCCAACCAAAGGGAGAGGTCTTTTCCAAACCACCTATGTATACTGGACCCGTCACAGTGACAGTAACTTAAGGAGCCCACAACTGGGACCTATGGAGCTGAGTCTCTAACTCGTCCCTGGCAGGGCAGAGTCCTAGACAGGGAGTGAGAGGAAGGCAGGGGAAGGCAGGAAGTTATCTTATTCTTGATGCTAAAGGTCAAGATCACTGAGAGCAACTACATACAGGCTATGAAAAACTCAACGTTCTCCAAATTTGTGAAAAGGTTGTTTGATGAACATATTCAAATACATTCAGGATAAACATACTTATCATGAATATCCTCAAAGATGACACTTTCTGCTTCTTAACTCCTTTGGTGGGCAGCCCTGGACTCTTCCTGGAGCTTAGGAGATGAACTTCCAACCAGGGTCCCTGCCCCAACCTAGGCAGAAGTCACCCCTCCTTTTGAAAACTCCTCTCCATGGTCCCTGGTGCACCTGGCTCCCTAGTGTGGCTGGTCCTGCCCAAGCCTTGGGGAACCACTTGGTCTCCATACTTCCTTTCTATCCTATCACCAACTGCCCCAGCAGTTGGAGCATTTGCCTGTTGAAAGCCACCCGAGAGTCCCCACAGAAGCAAGTCCCAGATCCATGGGGCCTCAGTATGGGGACCTCAGCTACAGCCTAGCAGGAGGGGGGATAGGGATACGGGCCTCCCTGCAGACTCCCAGTGGATGGACAATTCCAAGTTCATCATTTCAGATGCCCAGGATGATTTAACCTGGGCATCAATCCAATGATGGCCAGAGGCTTGGATTGGTTAAATCGTCCTGGGCATCTGAGACTGTCTTCCCCTCCAAGTCTGACCATAAGACACCAGCTCACTCAGTCCTGAGCATGGAAGAGCTCGGGGCTCACTGCAGACCCTCGTGCACCCACCAGGTCTGCATTGCTCCCACCCAACCCCTGGCCCCTTGACCTGGCAGTTTCCCACTGCATGGGAATTCCATCCTCACTCCTAAAAACGGGAGCACTGCCCTGGAAGGCTCTGTTCTGGGTGTAAGGAAAAACTGGGAAATTACACCAGAGACCTGCTTCCCCCTCGGAAAGTCCCCTGAGCTCCAGCCACAAACCGCAGGGCTCCGGAATGATTAGAAGGCCCCACGCTCCAAGCCCCAGGCCTCCAGCTACTGAGGTCTCACCACCCCTCCACCTTTACCTCCCCCCACCTGAAGAGGAGTCTGGAGCTGGTGACAAAGGAGAAGGAGCCCCAAAGAAAAAGGAACTGAGAATTTAAAATAACGCAAAGGTCGTAATAGAATTTGTGCCTAAGTTAAAGAAAAATGGGAAGAATCCACATCATGATGACGTGGTAATATTTCCTATTGGGGAACAGGGAATGACAAAGGGGCAGAAACGAAGCTTTTCAAATTATGCCTTGTTATGTTAGTTTGATTTTTTTTTTGTCACTCTACATTTCTAAAAGAGTTTTTTTGTTTTGTTTTGTTGGTCACTCTACATTTTAAAACAGTTCCCCCCGCCCCCAAGTAAACAAACGAAAACCGCGACTGAGGGTGCCAGGCGCGCCCTGGCGGGCTTCCGCAGGCGCATGCGCGGGGAAAGCTGCGCTCCTGCCGGGAGAGGCGCCCAGGAGCTGCGAGCGCCGCCGGGGCCCACAGCGAGTGTCTAGGGTGCTGCCAGGCTCCACCCTCCAGCCCCGGAGCTGGGACTTGCTGCCCTGGGGCCTCTCCGGTGGCTTCAACAGGCAGGGGGCTGCCAAGCTCCAATTGCCAGAGCCGTTTTCTCCCAACAAGACAAAGCGCTGAAGATCA